ACATTTTATGAACCAATCTGATTTATAGATTTCAAGTTATGTCAATTTTAAATATTAAAATTTGTAACTTTGACCCATAAAATAAACTCAATTCAAAAGTGATTTCATAAGATTAGAAATCATAATTTTGACCCTTGACAACATCATATTAATCATTTGGATTTAATTCATATATTTTTATCTCATTCATATTATTAAATTAATTTATGACTGAGACAGACCTGAACACTGAGAAAAATAAAAGTTCTCAGAAAAATATTTTGACTACATCAAAATTCTAATTTTGACAGTCTCATTCCAAAAACACAATCCATTTTCAATTCAGAGCAGTTTGGGTGAAAAAGCGCGTACCGTTGTAGTCAGTTTATCAGTTACGGAGTAGGAGAATATTTTAAAGGAAAAATTACCCAAAATAATCCCAACTTTACCCGGTCTTTCAAAAATAATCCCACCTTTCACTATGATGCATAATAATCCCAACTTTACTGAAATTTGCCAGTTTTGGGTCGCCGTTAAGTTTTTAACGGAGGATTAACGGAAATGCCCGTTTTAGGCAACAAAATGAAAGTTGGGATTATTTTTGATGAATTTTTGTTTGTTTGTTTTTTTTAATTTTTTATTTAATTTTTTTTAATTACTTTCTACCTCCATCATCATTTCTTTTTCCTTTTTTAAAGATTAGTCTTAGTTTAAAAAATAAAAATAATAGATATAAAAATGAAAACATGAGAAATGTAACTAAAATGATACAAAAATAATAAAATAAATAAGGTAATCAATGGACACTAACTTGAAATTGGTAAAAGTAAAATAAAAATATACGGGTGGGTTTTAATATTTTACGCATTATACAAAGTATTAACATATCACTTCTTATTTTTTATAAAAAATTATCTACAATAATTCCAACTTTACCGGACGGCTTGTTCTTTTAAAAAATAAGTTGTACATTAAGACTCCGTATAGTGTGTAAAATGTTAAAACCCACCACTCCGTATATATTTATTTTATTTCTTACCAATTTCTGTTTAATTTCTATTGATTACATTATTTATTTGATTAATTTTGTATGGTTTTAGTTATTTTTTTCATTTTCATTATTTTTTATATCTATTTTTTTTCTAAGGTAAGAATAATCTTTAAAAAAGAAAAAGAAATGGAGGTTGAAAGTAATTCAAAAAATTTAAATAAAAATTTCAAAAAAAAATTAAAAAACAAAAATTCATCAAAAATAATCCCAACTTTCATTTTTTTGCCTACAACAGGCATTTCCGTTAACCCTCCGTTAGAAAATTAATGGCGACCCAAAACTGGCAAATTTCAATAAAGTTGGAATTATTATGCATCACAGTGAAAGGTGAGATTATTTTTGAAAGACCAGGTAAAGTTGGGATTATTTTGAGTAATTTTTCCTATTTTAAAATCCCTACTCAATCACGTATTCAGCCCATGATCTCCACTAGCCACCTCAATCTTCACAAATCACTCCAAACTTCCTATCCAACACTAAAAACCAAAAGAAAAATATAATAAACAAAGAAAAGCTATACTATATCACCATCACCATCTTCTCCTATCATTCACACACACAACACTCTCCTCTCCATTCTCTCTCTGTCGACCAAAAACACAAGGAAAAGAAAAGAAAACTTCAACTCCATAGTTGGTTCAAGAAGAAGAAGAAGAAGCAAGAAAACCATCCATAGTTTCTAAATCATGAGTTCCAAACGCAGCATCAACTTCTACGTAAGTTCTATAATTTTCCATCCATTATCTCGAAATACTTTCTGAACCAAAGTTGTAGCCCCGGACGATACGATTCCAGCCCAACAAACGGCTCGCGATTTCGTTAAGTAACGAAGAAGATATGGCCAAAATACCGGGACTGCGCCAGTGGTGGCGAGCTCCTCGGGTTGGACCATTTTCTTCACCAAATTCATATTGTTTCATTCCAAGAACTCACTATAAACTCTCTAACAACTATTAGGGACATCTGGAAGGTATCGTAGAGAAGATTCGGTGTTGGAATATTGAAGTTAATGGGTTAACCCTCGGAACCGTTGTTCATCGACATATCCGAAATCCTGGACAGCAACTATCCCTTGACTTCAGGTCTGATTTACGCTATCTTACATACGTTAAAACGAAATACTTTCTATACGAAAGTTGTAGCCTTACATCTTAGGAATCCACAGAATCAAACGGTTTGCAATTCCGTGAAGAAACGATGGAGATATGCCCAAATTACCGCAGGCTGTCCAGTTGTGACGGAAATGACAAAGTTGGCAAATTTCAATGTTGTTTCCACTTTCGCTCCTCTCTAAGGTTTAGGCCGATGATTTCCAGGTCTGTACCTTTGCGTTAGACTTGTCGAATCATTCATCACATATGTACATGAACATATATGTTAATCCATATGTGGAAATCAACCTAAAAATATGTATATGTTAATCAAAGGTGTTTTAAAGACTTAAAGAAGTATTTTGGACACTCAAAATATCAAAAGAAAGATTCGCAGACCCAAACGGTCGATGCAAACGGTCGACCGTCACGTTAAACATCGAAACGGACCACGACTGTCAGCCAAACGGTCGATCGCCGGTGGCTAACGGTCGACCGCCGCCAGCCAACCAAAGTCCGCCATCCACAGCCAGTCAACAACGGTCGACCGCCGGTCAACCACGGTCGACCGTCACGGTGATCCGTCAAATCCGACCTGATGAAGATCAAGGTCGACCGTCGCGCCAAACGGTCGACCGTTCCGAGCCCCGTAGCTTAATTAAATGATATTTTTATCAGATTTCACCCAAATAAAATAAAGTATATTTATCCATTCATATTATTTACAAATTGTTCATATAATATGACTCATATCATCACACATATTGTAGCATATCATATCATATGCATGCGTAAGAGATCATGCGTAATTGCGTCTCTTATAGCGTGGTTGTGCGAGACTTAGTAGTCCGACAACCCTGACCGGGCTTAGTGTACGTACATGTTATTCAGACTTTCGAGTACCACCCCTATTTTTTCTAGTCTCCCTTGTGAGACTAA